GACACAATGAAGACTCTAAGCTCCAGGCCTTCCCACTCCAACCCAGCTCCCTAAATTTAACCCCCCCCCAGTTCTTTTTTAATAGGGAGGGTCCCTGGGGTTTAGACCCACCCACCCAACCACACTCACAACGGGGGGCAAACGAGTAGTGGGTTGGTAGGGCATCCGTGGGCGAAAAAAGAAAAGAAATGAAAAAACAACGCAGCCACTACATTGCCCAGGGCCTTCCACGTTGAAACCCAACTGGCTGTAAGGGCGGTAACACATACCTCCAACCCAGTAAAACCCCGCACCTAGCAGGGAACTGGTCCCTAATTTTGGAAAGTTGGTGTTCCAGGCTCGTACCACAATCATCGTCATGGTTGTCCCGGGACCCAAACATATGGGGGGGGTTCTCTCTTTTTAGGCAAGTTTTTTCAGGTCTTCAACGGATACCAAACAAAACACCACATTTTTGTGCGGGGGATCCCCCTATTTGATGAGGTTGTTTTTCCCTTTTTCGGGCCCGGGTTCTGCTTGTTGCGGCGAATGGCGGCAACTCTAGGTCGAACTGAAGGGCGCTGACCTCCGGATGGGGAAGCGAAGCCGGGGTTGCAGAGGATCAAGTTGGAGTGTTCACTCAAAGGATCTGCGTGTTTACTAGAATCAGCTTCCCTCTGATTGATTTGGATTGGTGGATTGGAAGTTCGGGGGTGGTTGTACATCCCCAAACCAATCCAAAGCACCAGTTCAGGGTCAGCTGACAAGGACTGGCATGTTGTACTATAATGCTAAAACCTGAAATGAGACAACGATTGAAGGGCCTTCATCCTGGTGCTCCAGGATTTTTTTTAAAAAAATGAGATCACTATGAGATAGTCAGATAGGATTCCCTCGCAGCCACCCCCAGCCCAAAAATACAAACACTGGTCCCACCATAGTCCCAACCCGAATTAAGGATTCCCCAGGAATCGCCCCGTTTCCTATGCTCGCCAGGCAGCCTGAAAAAATCCTGAAAAACTGAGGACCACAACTGACAGGCAAAGCAAGGGGACCCAACGGGTTGCAAAAGGGAAAAACGGCGAGCTCAGCCTGGCAATGTTTGCAAGGAATCCGATTTGAGGTGAAACAACGGACAAGCAACTTGGGCAATTGGAAACTGGCAAATGGGCCCAGCTGGAAACCAGTTGCCTGGATGTTCTTCATTCTGTACGTGGAGAATTTCGAGCGGGGGGGGGGGGGGAGAAGTGTGTCTGCGAGGGACGGGGAGGAGTTGATCTGTTGGGTCACAATGGTAACATCCAGGATGGGGATAATGAAAGGCGGGAGAGACGGGTGAACGCTATTCGCCCAGCTCACGCATCGCTTCCAAGGTTTAACTCTCCATCTGAAAATCCGCATGCATAGGGGTTCCAGTGATTTTCCATCTTGACTTGACGCAGATCTCATCTTGGGACCCAGGTCCTGCGGTTTCTCAGTGCCAAACCGCCTGGAACACATCTTCCTCAAGCCAAAAGAAAACCCCCTGTGCGGGGAGTGCATTCGAAGAATCGAGGCTGGTGCTTAGCGCCTGCGAGGGTAGGGGCGCTGCTGCAAAAAACATCAACGGATTTTGCCCTTGGGCAGCCTGATCCACTTTTGGGTAGGTGATGGTCAAAACAGCCCCCCGCTGAAAATCTCAAAGGCCAAAGGGGAACGCCCCAATTTCATGGAAGAGCCATACCAAAGACCAGCCGTGCCGACAAAAAGAAAAAAAAAGATCCCACAAATTTCGCCTCCATGGCCGGCATGTCCGGAGGCGGCGGGTGGCCCCACTGAACCTCCCAGTGCGCCTGCAAAGACCCGCAGCCGGGCGAGGGGGTTCACTGGCCAAAGACAAGTCCGAACTTTTCAAATGGTGCAAACCCAACAAAGTGACTCCAGTCCGAGTTCCAACTGGCCCCCTTTTTGCAGGACACACCATCTCCATAAGCAAACGCTCTCAAGAGGAGTATGCTTGAGAACGAGAGGGCGAGGTATTTGTGACAGTTGGAACATGCAAGGGTTGCCCCACGAACCGCAATGCAGGGGGCGCGGGGGCGGAGGCGGGCGAAACTACTAACGAGACGGGGGCTCCAACACAAATCGCCTGAGTTCCCCTTCAAAACGTGCAGTCTGGTGACCTGGTGGGTTCCGACAAAGTTGTCAATGTTGAAAGTCTCAAAAAGGCACAAGTTCAGGAAGCCCTGTGAAAGGACACACGAGTGTTGCAAGCGGACCAATAGAAGCCACGAAAAATATAGGTAAGTATTCTTGGTTTCCCTCACCTTGCTGGCGGGCCGGTTTTAATCGCGATCCCCAAAAGCGCCAAGAACCACTGGCTGCAGTTTGCTCACTTGCAAAAATCGTTTTGTCTAGGTCCTCCAGTAGAGAGGCTAGAATAAGGGTACCCTTTTTTTTTCTGTAGTCTATTTTAGTAGGGGAAGCCTCGCCCAAAAAAGGGTAAAAGGGCACTACTGGGGGACCTAGTGGTAGTACACCCACACCCGCTCGTCAAACACCCGACCCCGACCTCCCATGGATCCTCAAACGTCATCCCCGGCCACGCCGCCATGCGCATCCGCCCGCACGGAAGTCTCGCGGACGCCGCTTCCGCCGCGCCGGAGGCGCCGCCGGAGGACGCCGCCCAGGCGGTCAGCAGACGCCGGGCGCGCTGGCCGTGAACGTCGCGCCTCAAGCGTCAGAGACGTGGGAGGAAAAAGAGCCATGCCCGCCCCGTGGCTCTGAACTAATATTGGATCACCACAATCCACCGCAAGTACATGTACAAAAACATGTTTGTTGCACGAGCGTTCTTTCGGCTGGTCGGCTGGTCGTGGCGCGCAAATGCAATAAAATTGCGCTACGCAACAAAACGAACTTACAGCGTGCCGTTAAAAAAAGAATGTTTGTTTCAAGTCAACTCAGACCAGAATAGATGGGTACGATTGTTCAATAGAAACAAAGCCCTTAGTGGACAGTGTTTTGGTGGCCACAGCTCCAGAACTCACCTGGCCTGCACCCCAACCTAGGGAACCCTGCTTGAACCTTCCTCCGGAACCTTGCTCGAACCTGACTCCAAAGCTCCCCCGAGCCACACCCAAAGCTTATCTGGCCTGAGACCCCTCAGCTTTTAGCTGTTGGGGAATAAACATAAAAGACTGTTATCAACACCACCACCCCCCCCAAAAAAAAAAAAACAAGAAAAAGAAAAAAAGCGTACAAACTGCTATAAAAACCACACACACACACACCAAAAAAAAAAGGAGAAAAAAACAGAGACAACAAAAACTTGCCGCTCCAAGGCGCGGGGGCTGGCGTCGGGTTTCCGTCAGCTCCGGCAGGAACCGCGAGAACCGCTGCGCCCGGCTCTGGCCCGGCTGCATGGCACGTGAGCCGACCCACGCGCCGACGCGCCGCCCCACACGCCCCACGTCGCCCGGGGCAGCCCGCGAAGAAGGCGCCCAATTGCGAGGGGGCGACAGGCTCGCCCGGCCGGCGAGTCCAGCGCGAAGGAAAGTCGCGCAAAGAATGGGCGACGGGGCAAAGCAAAACACAGGGCGACCTGGGAAGGGCGACCTACAAACATGGGTCGAATATTTGCGCATGTCGGCCTGGGAGTAAGGCTTTGACATTCCGAGAGGGTGTTGCAAAGCCCCCCCAAACAAAAAGCAAACAAGCAAACAAATAATAAGTCATTGTTAAAGCCATGGATTCTGTGTCAAGCCCGCACCTGAAGCAATGAACTTCAATGAAGCAAAGGGAGCCTTTCGAATCTTCTCCGAGCCATCGGATTCGTGGGCGCCTGGCCGGACCTTGAGAACAAAAATTGCGGCGGCATGCGAGTGCGAGTGCGAGCTCTCGTGCCAAGAAGGCCAGACTTAAACGCCCAAAGCAAAAGGTTGGCTAAAGGTTGGAAAATGGAGGAAACGCAGCACAAACCCTAGCAAAACTGGCAACCCATAAAAAAACTCAGGGAACACAGACATTCGCAAAGTCTGGCAACGACATATATTTCCCCCTGGTCGGTTCTTCCATGCGTATCGACGTCATGATGAATGATCTGGGCAGAGTACCGGAATTCAGACACCGGAAACTAGGCGCTTTTTGCCAAGTGAGGGCCTTCAGCAGTAAGCTCGTGCCAACTCGGAGCGCCTTTGCGCCCTAAGTTGCAATCACAAGGCCAACAAGCGCCCACAGTCCGCCAGGTGCGGGGGTCTAACGAGTAGAAAAACCCAAAGGCGGGCTGCCCACCTTTTCCACCCTGGCACATGCAGAAGGCCTTGTGTCGTCCCGGGCTGGGGAAGGAAAATGGCTCTGAGAATGCATGGCTCTGCGGCCGTTCGGGAAGAAGCTGCCTGGACCCCAACCAGGCCTTAGCCTGACTTCGGGGGAAAGGCAGAAGTTTCGTCTGAGGGGCGCACGAACCGAAAATACCCCAATGGTCTACCCTAGTTCGATCATAGGAAATGGAACCCATGGCGCGTTCCCACGCATTCCCTTGTAAAAGGGGGAAGCCTCAGGCATCGCATCCGGTTCCCTCCGGGCATGGCTCGTTTCGGGTTTTCCCCAGCTTCGGCACAGGCTCGGAAAGCAGCACGCGTTTTGGGGCTTCTAAAATGTCAACCCCTTCGCGATACCAACCTGCCATAACTTTGTTGGCACCAAGAGAGCCTTTCAAGCTGGCCACAGAATGGTTGATTCGAACCAACCCTTAGGAAATCCCCGCAATGGTGTCCTTTTGGTTTCCCTTTAAATCCACCCCAACACCAGCCTCCCTCCAAAAAACAGACCCAAACACATCCCGTTATCCTCAAACACGGACCCAAACAAATGCCCCAAAACCAGGTATCCTCACACAGACCCAGACAAATCCCCCAAAACTAGGTATCCTCAAACACAGACCAAAACAAAAATCCCCCATGAGTCCCTTTCCCCAAACAGATCCGCCTATCGATCCCGTGGAAACAGCTCGCGGATGCCCCGGCTCCAGGCCCCCGAGCACATCGCAGCTCCCTCACTTCCATGGCCTGGATCGATTCGCCGGATCCGGGCCAAAAAAAAAGCACCGGGCGCCTCCAAAGTGGGCTGTCCGCTTTCAGATCCGCTCAAAGTGAATAACATTTCGTGGGCGCCATGGCCCCAAAACTGCCCAAAAAAGGCAATTAAGGGCTTGGGGTGGGAGGCAAGCAACATCCAAGGGCCCTTTGAGCTGAACATCCTCAGCCTTCAAACCACCAACACTGGGAGATCCCCCCTTTGCAGATCCCCGGCTAAAAGTTTTAACCACCACTAAAACAATGCAGTAAAAAGCTCAGGTGGTTAAATGGAAAGCCAAGAAAATCAAGACTGAGGTACATGGAAACTACGACTAACCACTCAAAAGCTAAGGAGCTAAGGAACCGGAGGGCCCTGAGCCACTCAGAAAAACCACCCCAAGCTCGCAGCCGAGCTAAATGGAACGGGCCCTCGTGCTGCTCCTTGGCTTTTGAGGGCAGGCGTCCACGTTTGCCCAAACCCAAAGCAAGAGACAAGCAAAGGACCCACACCACGGCCACAACGTGCGCAGAATATATCTCAGAACTACGGTTGCACCCCACTTTCTGCCGCACTCTCTCAGGGCCGTGCTTGGCCTGCGCGTGAAAGCGCTTCCAACCTACTTAGCCGAGGCCACGAGAAAAAGGGGGCACCCTTATTCTGTTGGTTGAGTTTGAAAAGGAACGCTTATCCCCCCCCCCAAAAAAAAAAAAGAAGAAAAGGCACCACTGGGCAACAGAGCCAAGAAAGCATGGAACAAATGGACTTCCCGCCGGCCTGCCTCCCAAGCCATGTGCGCCAAGCTCAAAGCTGCGCGCCTCGCCTCGCGCTACTCACCTCACGCGCGGAGCCGGAACCCTCGGACGCCGCAACGTCTGTAACTTGGTTGCTGTTGACTCCTCTGCAAAAAGTTTACCCTCTTGTGGGTTTGCTGGAAAACCCTTGATTTCCGAAAAAAGAAAAAGTTAAAGCTGAAAGATCCAACCCAATGGCAATCAAGATAAGAAAGGCCGAAGTGAAAGCAGGGGGAGGTGGGGGCGGGGGGAGGGTTACGTCTTGTGGCTTGAGTGGATCGCCCCAACTAGTCCGAAACTGGAGCGTGCCACTAAAGCGGTCGTCCCAAACAAGTGCAACGCCGGAAGTGTGCTTTCAGAAACCAAACCAGATATGGTCAAAGGGTCTTGGGGCTTTTGCACTTGTGAAATGTTTGCGGGTGTTTGCAGCCCAGGTCCCGAAGTGTCCGACCTCCAGTCAGCTGAGCTGGCCCTAAAAGGTCTATTCTTCCTTACTGAACTCATGCTGATGCAGAAACCTCTTGCACCAGGTGGCAAGTACATGGCACACTTTCCTTTGTGGGAGTAAGTTAGGAGGGATGAATGAGTAAACCAACACTCATTGCGCCCGCTACTTTCACCCGGCTCAGGCAGGATACTCTACAAATTGCCATGAAACTCGAACACCCACACATTTTCAGAGGAATCTCCCTTTTGAGAACCCCCTTTTGGGGGACCCTCTCCCTTTTGGGGACCCCTCTCCCTTTTGGAGGGCACTTTCCCTTCTGAAGATGGGTTGTTTCCGTTCATTTGTGAAAAAATCCCTGAGACCAGGGGAATCTCCCATTTTAGGACCCGGCAAATGGGGGCCCTTCCGTTCATTTCTTTTAAACAAAAAAACAAACTCCTGAGAAAAATCCATGGGATCCCCCCCGCGCCTGGCTGCTTGGCTGCGCCGCCGCCATGGGAGCCCGCGAAAATTCCGAGTTGCGGGAGGTGTCTTTGCTCGGAAGGCCATGGACATGACAAGGCTCTGGAGTCGTCCCTGCCAACTTTTGTCCATGAAAAAACAGGGGGTCCCAAGCGAGGTCATCCTTCAATTGGGGATTTGGTGGTGCCCATGCGAGTTTGCAGGGGGAAAATGCATGGGCCGTGGTCATGTGCAGAGTCTCAACCGAATTAAAGCTTAAATGGCTCAACATGGCCTAACCAGAGTTTGCTTCATCAGCGAATAGCCCATCGGTCCTGCCTGAAAACGGGGCCAGCGGGGACATGGCAGGCATCCAAATGGTGACGTTTGCAACTCCCAGATTCCCCCAGACAACTATCGGCAAGTTGGGTATAAATAAATATTTCTCTACTCTTATGTTTGATAATACATATACGTGTGCTTCATATGGCTGTGTTTCTTTACAGGGGCCGTTTTTCTCCCATTTGCAGATGCTCGTGTTTTGCATTCTTCATGAGTGAGCGAAGAAGTGTTCCCGGACCGGTGAGCGAAAAGCGAAGAAAACAAAGAACCATGACTTGCGCGTGTTACATGCTACATCTGGGGCAGAGACCCATCCCGAATTGGAAAGGTTAACCTTTTTGAGGGGTTCTTTGCGAGCACATTTTGAGAAGCGCGTCCAAACCCAACCTTTTGACCTGTTGTGTTTCCCTTATTGATCTATCACGTCTGCCTGTAGTCAGGGTTCTAGAAGGTTCACCTTTCATAGCCGGGTATCTCAGGGGCAACATTTAGCAACACACGGAGCCAAATGGTGATCAGTTTAGAACATGGACCACCCCTGACGACCATTCTACAGCGGCGGGCCAGGAGAAGCAGTTCTGTTTGCTGCACGGCCAAAGGCAGCGAGAACTTGCGCAACGCTAACGAGAGAGAAGACCTATACGGCCCAAGGCCCGCAAGCACTCGGCCAATGGCGAGAACACAGCTACGCAGGACCTCTCAAAAGCACGGCGCTCTCGGCGCTCTCGGTATTTGACGCCCAAGGATAAAAGCGCCGCGAGAGCGCCACCTCCGTTCTGCTGCGGAAACTGTGAAACCTCCGAAAAACCTTAAAACCCGCTGAACCCGTGGAAACAATGGAAACCATGGAGACCGCGGACGCATTGGTAGTGCGCTTTGAGAAACTATCAGCACCCCGCGGTCCACGTTGAAAAATGATTAGAATATTGTGCTGCGAAACCATCAGGATCCCGCATTGCAAATCGACACGCTTCCCACACACTTGCTTCTGTTTGCCCAAGCCGCCTGGAAAAATGAACACATTTCTAGTAATTCGTGATAGATTCCCTTTGAAACCAACAAAGAAAATAACAAGTATATGTTCGCTTCAGACAATGGCAGCTGGGGAAGGCTTTCACTGGCGAGTCCTCATTTGGGGTGGTGAAAACCAAACCCTTCCCCGGTCTCAGCGAATGTTTCGGCCGAACGATGCGAGCGGCGCCGGTCACCTTGCGCCCCGATTGGGCGGCGCGGGCCGGGTCAACAGGGCCTGCCGTTCCTTAAGAACGGGGCAGGCGCCGAGTGCAGGCGCGGTGCGCCTTTGCGGTGTAATTTCACTCTACTTGGCCTACACCTGGGTACACAAAAGATATGATACTTTATGACTCTGTGTCATATTTGTTGGCCTACTCTAAATTTAGTGTAGTCTACTCTATTTAGTCTACTCTAGACTAGGGGATTAACAACCCCAATTCCATCCATATCGTCCAACACCGTAACCCCCGCTTCCATGCCCCACGTGAGACCGTCGGGCCACTCGCGCGGAGCGGACTTTCAAAGCCATATCCCCGTTCAACAGGCCCAGGGGTCACTGGAATCCCATTTTTTAATGGTTGATCGGTTTACTGGTGGTTCCAACAAAACTACGCCACGTTTGGAGGTCCCAACAAGGGCACCCAGTTTCCAAATCAACATCCCATGAGGGACATTTGGCCCCACAAAGAAACAAATGAACATGGACGCCAAAAAGAGATCTCCAAAAAGAGATGCCTCTACCAATCATGATGTTGGGCGTTCCATGCTCAACTGCAGGTATGTCAATGAGTCAAGTCTAGGATGCGCGAAAAGCTCCAAGCGCAAATTATTTGAAGCAGTTTTCTCCTTGTCTGGGCGGGGTGGCTTGGTAAAATGCCTCTTCAACTCCGCCTCCGCCGCTATCCAATCCTTTCAGGATTTCCTCTGAGGAGCCTTCCGGCGGCCCCTCAGAAGTTCCATCTCGTCTCTGCCTCGGTTGCGACCCTTCGGGCAGTTCGCGAGAACTGCACGGAGAACGGGGGAGAAGGGGGGGGCCATGCTGTGACGCAAGTCTGCCAGACTCAACTAAGGAAAGCCAGGCAAAGGGGTGAATGAAAGAGAGCGGGACGCCCGGTGGCCCCTGGTTTTACCGTGGTTGTGAGCTGCTCTTGTAATGTAACCACCTAACTCCAGGCGCCCGTTCCTGCTCTCTAAGGCACCCAGTCTACAAATCGGTGAGGCAGGCAATGGACGCAATGCGCGCAATGCGCGCAATGCACCCCCCCACCCACTACACATGGGCAGCGCCGGAAATCCGGCTGGGGTGGCCAAAAAGAGCCCAAGCTGTTTGCCACTAAAATTGCCTTCCCAAAAAGGAAGAAGTCCAGGACTCAGGAAGTGAGGAAATCTGGACATTGATCTGTTTGCCACCCAGCCTCAACTTCTTTCAAGGGCACAAAAACAACCCATCCATTGTCATCGAGTGGATTGGCCAACAAGAAGCATGCCACAAAATGGAGCCCAACAACAGTCAACCAGTTCTTCGTGGGTGCGGTTGCTGGCCACTCCACTCTACCACTATCAAACTAGTGCCAAGTGAAAGGGAAGCCGGCCCAGTTTCAAACGTCGACCCTCAAAAACCCTCAAAACAACCTGCGCCGAAAACATATGGAGGTTCTAACTTTTGATCACCCAAAGAAACCTTAGGGGGAAATCCTCCATTTGCTTAAGTCCCCCGGAATATATATATATATATGTATATATCCAACTGTGATAGATTCCCTTCAAAACCAACCGGTGAAAATCAAGACAAATATTCATGTCAGCCAATGGAAGAAACCGCCCGGCGCGGTTTCTAGGCGCACGCGTTCATTTTTTGGTCTCGGCGATCTCCAGCTTCCGCCCGCCCGCGGATCTCCATTTGGCGCCGCCGCCGCGCAGGCGCCGC